ATTCTATGTGCATATAGGGAGACCATTTTGATTCCAGAAAAAGCAAATGGCTCAAAGGAAGCTAGTTACAATGAGGCTTATAAAGAGAAGAGGAGGGAGAAGAACAGAAGATCAACCACGAGCTGATCTTAACATGACTGACTGGACCCAGCCTCCCCCTTTAGTGAGATCAACTGATATCACATCAAAGATGGTCTCTGCCCCTCCACACCGCTGTATCTTCTGAAATTCAAATTCAGCAAGCCTGGCTGCCAACAGGAAAGAAAGGGTTTGCAAGTTTGGGTGAGAAAAAAACCTTTGGCAGGATTAATTTTGGTCAGGAATTTCTTTAAAGTAAATGTTTGGTTTCATGGGTAAGAAAACCCCAAAATCAAAGCAAGAAATCTGCTATCAATTTCTCTCTCTGACTCTGGTTTCAACTGAAAATTAACCCTATTAGAAGCCAGATTAAGTTAAAGACAAATGAACAGGCACAGTCCATAGAAAACAAACACAGAATATCAGATGAGAAAGTGGAAGTAGAATTGTTTTAAAGAGTTTTGCTGTACGTGGATGGAGAAAGGGGATGATAGTGGAAGGAGAAACTGGTCAACAGAAGTTTTTTGGTTGTGTTATTAGATAAAATAGATCCAGCATGTTTGTATGCTGTTGGGAATGATCCAGTGGAGCAGGGAAACTGATGGTGTAGGGGAGAGAGGGGCCAATCCCTGAAGCAGCATCCTGGAGTAGCTGAGACAGATGGGGCTGCTGCCCAAAGGGTTTACCTTAGATAAGAGTGAAGATTGGCCATCACCAGGAAAGGAGGGAGAAGAGTATGTGCAGATGGTAGTTGGGCAGCTCTGTTGGTGGAAGCATGTGGAAATTCTCTTCCAATTTGTTTTCTCATTGAAAGAGGACGATGAGGTCATCAGCTGAGAGTGAGAATGGGGAAAGATGGAGGTTTGAGGAGAGAGTGGAAAGTGTGAAAGAATTATCTAAACAGTGAGTGCACCCATTGCTGTCATTTCATTTCTTTTATAATGTTACCAAAACTAAACCAAACCCATTGCTGTCCAGCTGATTCCGACTCATAGCGACTCTACAGGACAGAACAGAACTACTCCACAGGGTTTCCAAGGCTGTAAATCTTTACGGAAGCAGACTGCCACGTCTTTCTCTAGCGGAGCAGCTGGTGGGTTCAAACCGCTGACCTTTCGGTTAGCAGCCCAGCACTTAACTACTGCGCCACTAGGGCTCCTATTATAATGTTGAAATAAAAATAAAATCAGTGAATACCTCCCCATTGCCTTTAGAATAAATAAAATCCATTAGCTCCATATTAAAGACTTCTTGATTTTTCTCCTTCATAAACCTTCATTTTATGTCCTGTCATGTTCTCATTACAATCTATATTCCATCTTTACCAATTACTTAAGATTTCTCCAAATAGAATTACGCTAATACCCCTGATAAAGGGTTAACCTAACCACAGCAGGCCATAAGCACAAAGACCAACTTGTTTGTCATGGTCTATAGAACTTCAAACAATCAACAACTACATTAAGGGGAAGAACAGAGTGCTCTAACTGGTTCAATGGACTGTGGACATGCGTATCAAAAACTAAGTAACACTCTGCCACAGGAAGTGAGTTAAAGATCTACCCAATACCACATGTAGCCCACATAACAAAAAACCACCACCATATGACACAGCCAGGACCCCCGAGCTAAGAGACCAAGTGTAGGAAAACAAAAACAAGTCACTCAATCATGATCTGAGTTGTCTTTAACCAATCGGAGCATGTAAGTCACTCATAGGCACGTGTTCCAATGATTGTAAAGGGCACACAGAGAGGCCTTTACTCATGATGAATCAGCACCTGTCAAAATTGCATAAAAAGCACCTTAAAATTGTACTTCTTAGGATTTTGGTCTGTTTACAACTTGAGTGCTTGCAGCCAATTTCCCATTTTTTGTTTTCTGATGTGTCACAAGAAAGATCTTTGCTGCAGAGGCCTTTGGTGAAAGCTGTTAGTCGACAACACTCCTGTGGCAGACTGTATTTTCCACAGACGACCACAATAACATCTCCCATCCCATATGTTCTTCTGTAACGTCCCCCTGCCACTCTTCCTCAAAAAGTAGAGTCTGTTTCTCCATCCCTTTGACACTATGACTGCTTTGGTCAACAGAAGACAGTGGAAATGATACCATGCCAGTTCTAGGAGTGGCCCTGACTGGCCTGGCAGCTTCTCCTTGTGCTCTTTGGAATGCTTTCTCTTGGGGTACTTCCTCTCGGAACCCAGCCACCACACTGAGGAGCACAAGCCACAGGGAGAGGCCACGTGTATACCTTTCTGGTAGGAAGTCCAAGCTGGGCTCCCAGCCAACAGCCAGGAGCAAATGCCAGCCATGTGAGAGAACCATCTTGGAACATCCACTCCAGTCAAGCCTTCAGAAGACTGAGTCCCACACAATGTCTTAACTGCAACCACATGAGAGACTCCAGTCAAGAACCCCCAGGTGAACCCAGGAAAGCCACAGAACTGTGAGAGATCATGTGCTGTTTTAAGCCCCTAAGTTATAGGGGGGTTGCTACACAGCAGTAGATAACCAGAACTGTTTTGAGTGCTGATGTGGTAGGAAGTAATTGTAGTAATAATAGCAGTAGTGGCAGAGAGTACTGATGGTGCAATGGTTAAGCTCTTGGCTGCTAACCGAAAGGTCAGTGGTTCGAACCTACCAGCGACTCCGTGGAAGTAAGATGTGGCAATCTGCTTCCATAAAGATTAAGTCTTGGAAACCCTGTGGGGAAATTCTACTCTGTCCGATAGGGTCACTATGAGTAGGAATCGACTCGACGGCATACAACAACAGTGACAGAGAGTAGATCTAGATCCAAATCTTAGCTCTGCCACTGCCTGACTACATGACCTTGGCAAGTTATTTAAGTTCCTGGACTTCATTTTTCCATAATGGGGATAGTAACCACCTCACTGGCACAGTTCCTGGCCTTAGTTAATGTTAAGGAAGGAGTACATGTTCCCACCTTTGCTTTAGGCTCTAGCTTTGGCACACTGGGGATAGCACTTTCTCTTCTACATTCTGACTTTCTCTCTTTATACCTCTGTATTAGCTCCTCCCAATGCCAAGAGCTGTTGATGATGTGACTTGTTGGGCTACATTTCACTAGTGGGCACAGTCATTGCATTGTGAGACTAAGTGTATCTATGAGCATGGCTTCTGTTTTCATCTGTAACTAGGCAGATCAGGGAATTCCAGAAAACCTTGTCAATGCAACTACTTGGTCAGTGTACTCAGAGACTGCCCCCAAAGACCAGGTTCTAATCTAAGATAAAAATGTGGAGACACAAGAAGCTACTTCAGCCTTGGGACAAAGCAGTGTTCTCTAACTGAGCTTTAACAGAGCACTGGCTACTTAAGAAAAGTGGCATTTTATTTCTCATATTGCTACGAATCCTTTTGTTCATGGCTTCCCCAGTAGAGGAAGAGAGAAGTATAAATGGGTTTAAGCACCAAAGTCCACGCCCACAGCCCTAAGAACACCTCCTGTACTGCAGCATTCAGTTCAAGCATTGCCTCCAGTGGAAGGCTGTCTTGATGCCCTCACTCCTCAGTCTCCATTTCTCCTTATGCAGAACTCATTCATATCCCTTGTCATATTCATATTTTAGTTTATTTGACATTCTCTCCCTATAGTCTGTGAACCTCTTTAGGGCAGAGAGAAGAAAGGTCTTCCATCTCTATATTCATATGGCAGGCTCTCAGTCAATATTTGTGGGGTGAATTATCATCTTTAATTGTTGTTGTTGTTAGGTGCTGTCCAGTGGATTCCAACTTATAGTGACCCTATGTATAACACAATGAAACACTGCCTGGTCCTGCACCATCCTCACAATTGTTGCTGTGTGTGACCCCTTTGTTGCAGCCACTGTGTCAATCTATCTCATTGAGGGTCTTCCTCTTTTTCGCTGACACTCTACTCTACCAAGGATGATGTCCTTCTCCCTGGACTGGTCCCTCTTGGTAACATGTCCAAAGTATGTGAGATGAAGTCTCACCATCCTCGCTTCTAATGAGCATTCCGGCTGTACTTCTTCCAAGACAGATTTGTTCATTTTTCTGGAAATCCATGGTATGTTCAATATTCTTCACCAACACCATAATTCAAAGGCATCAATTCTTCTTCAGTCTTCCTTATTCACTGTCTAGCTTTCACAGGCATATGAGGCGATTGAAAACACTACGGCTTGGGTCAGGTGCACCTTAGTTCTTAAAGTAACATCTTTTCTTTTTAACACTTTAAAGAGATCTTTTGCAGCAGATTTGCCCAATGCAATGCTTCATTTGATTTCTTGACTGCTGTTTCCTTGGGTATTGATTGTGGATAAAAGTAAAATGAAATCCTTGATAACTTCAATATTTTCTTCATTTATCATGATGTAGCTTATTGGTCCAGTTGTAAGGACTTTTGTTTTCTTTATGTTGAGGTATAATCCATACTGAAGGCTGTGGTCTCTGATCTTCATCAATAAGTGCTTCAAGTCCTCTACACTTTCGGCAAGCAAGGTGGTGTCCTCTGCATATCTTAGGTTTCAAGTATAGTGTGTGTGGGGGTGTGTGTACTCAGCCTCCCCACGCATAGTCTTCCACCATAAACAAATAGCCAAAACTTCAAATCCATAAGTAAAGATATGAAGTGTATGACTTCAGTTTAATAGAAAACTTGTGATATTTCATTATTTAGTAATAATGTATTGATGTTATGTAACAAAGGTTTTGATAATTGATGAAAATGTTGAACTTGTAAGGTAGAACAATTACACAGAAATAGGTTCGACATTCTGAAATACCAGTGTTAAAGCCTCTCTAATACATTGTTATTAATACCACCAAAGAGCACTGCAGAAATCTTGGTACTACGACTCCACGGTACAGGTGGCTTAGTGAGGTGGAAAGGATTCTACCACACCCACGTATGGAATTAGTCACTTATGTACCTTCATTGTCAGCACGGAGTTTGGCTTCCAGTTCCGTTAGCCTGTGTTTTATTTCAAGCATGGAGAGTTGCACTATATCCCTGTATTAAAAATATTTCTTGTTAATTATGATTCAACTAAAAATAACATGAGAAGAATAATATACAGTAAGTGGTAACTACTACTTCAGAAAAAGTTTATTTTGAAACATTACTTACTGAAGGCATGGTTGAGAATCAGGAATCAGGCAAATGAAGGCTCATGATTAGCCAGTGTCTGACTGGTCACAAACAGGCACTAAATATTACAGGAAAGAAAGAAGCCCCACAGGCATCACTAGAAAGGCTCTACTATTAATTTTTAAATATGGCCTCCAAGAAGTTGGTTATGGGGTTTCTCATTCCCCAGCAAAGTTGTTGTTGTTCTGTGCAGTGGGGGAGTCGATTCCACTCATAGTGACCCTATATGACACAGCAAAACTGCCCCACATGGAAGCATCAAAAGAAGCTGGAAGGAACACAGCTGCTGTGCCAAAAAGAACTGGTCGACATTCAACCATTTAAGGAGGTAGCATATGATCAAGA